GTATTTTAACTTGAATTTCATGAGCATTTTGTCTTTATAGTTACTGTATTTTAAAGATCTTTCAATAACAAAAGAGCTTATAAAGTGCCTGTAGAAAGTCCCTACTCCCTTGAACTTTTTTCATATTCTGTTTCAGTTAACGAGTTTCAAAATGTAAATGATTTTTTTTTCTCTTACACCAAACTCCATGCTTTTAAAGGGAAAATGTTTTTACTGGGAAATATTTCATTTTTTGTATTTTTTAAAATATGTCATAATTGGATGTGTTGCCCTCCCAAGTTAATATTTGGTTGAAGCACCTTTGGCAGCAAGATTTGGTAGGGGTGGTGTTCTTTGGGTGATGTATAGAGTTGGGTTTGCATTAAACATAGCACTTTGCTTTAAGGCTAGATTTTTCCATTCTAGTTTCGTTAGACCACAAAATGTGAATGGCCTCCTTCTTGCAACGCTGCCATACAGCTCAGATTTGTGGAGTGTTTGGGATATTGGTGTCACATTATTTTAATGCATTTTAATTCCAAGCTGTAACACAAAATTTTGAAAGGAGGTGTAGTGTGGCCTTGACAGTCAATATGTGCACAAGAATGCATAGATATAGACCACAAATACTCAAAGACAGGTAGCCAACTCAATCTAAGGAAATTTAAGAAGGAAGAAATAATACAAGATGTGCAGAAAGATATTACACAGAAACTAGATAAAATAAAGAATATAGAAATGACTCTGGCAGACACACTCAGAAGGGTATGTGGAATAAAGAAAATAGGAAAAGGGCAGATAAAGCAGATGGTGTGGTGGAACAACACAGTGAAAGAAGCTGTCAGAAAAAAGAAGTTATCCAAAGAATGGGCAGTATCAAGACAGCATAGCGAAAGAATTTTGAAAACCGCCAAAGAATCATCATGAAAGGTGTATGAGTGAACTGTATGCTCAACCAGAAAATTTGACAAAAGCGTGAAAACCATGAGATTAGAGATATTAGCCGAATAATCCAACAAAGGTGATAAATGATAAAGGTAGAAAATCCCCTCGATGATGAAGACAGCTTCAAGAAAAGGAGGCAGGAGTACATTAGTGGTCTCCTTAATCCAGCCAGCAAAAGAATCAATCAGAAGCATTTTCAGTCTAGATATCCAGAATTTGAAGAGTCTACAAAATTAACATAATTAACAACAAAGCAGCCGGAGTGGGCAGAATTACAACTGAAGCTAATTTAGCACATGGAGAAATCAGAATCATGTGGCTAAAATATTCCAATGGGCATGGAAGGAGAGAAAGGTTCTATTGACTATAGATTATTGGCTGTATGTGTCATGGTCAACATCCCTCCCCTAGAGGCCCTCCACTACTGTCTTGTCCCTAGCTTCTTGTAATTGTTTGTATTCCCGGTGTGTCTTGTTTGTCTCTCTATTTAATCCTAGTGCCTCCAATGCTCAGGGCTCAGCATTAGCATATGGATGTTGTGGGGCCTGCCTAGCTTCAAGTCACCCCATGTCCGTAGCCTGGGGGCATAGGCTTCATCCCCAACATTTCCTGCTTCCTGAGCCCAGGGCTTGAAGGACATCACCCCGTGATTACAATGTTTTGTCATGTCTGCGTTACCCCTTTTAACCTCAAGTCGTCACTGGATGGATTTCCTGGATTCAGACCCCTGGACTGTGCCCTGACTCTCCTATGGACCTTTTTGGATTTGGATACCTGTGTCTTTTCTCCCGTTACCCACTGCATGAACTGTCCCTATGTGCTGCACAAATAAACCCTTGTTTGTTTATCTGTTGTAGTATATGTCGTTAGTAGCACGTCTCCCTTTCCTCCAGACTCTACCGCTCGCATAGGGTCTTATTACAAATCCGAAACTGATTGCGGAGCCGTTCCTTGACAGAATGCAGCACTCATACCAATTTGAAAAAAAGAAGGGAAGCAAGAAAGGGTGTGGCAGCAACACACTGCAACAATGTATGCAAAAATAGTGGAGCAGTGCACTAGGTATAGGAAAAGGAAGAGGATGAACAGATGCCATCTTTTTTTTATGACTACTGAGTGCGAAGGCAATAGAGTATAACAGAGCACTTAATTTGGTATTTGTGGATCAAGAAAAAGCTTTCGACAGAATAAACAGAGAGAAATTGTGGAGGATATGAGAGAGGTACAATGTGTCAAGGCTTCTGGATAGTATCAGAGCTGTCTATGCCAACAGCATGAGCTCCATACATACTTTAAATGGATTCCCAGACTGGTTTTAAGTCAAATCTGGAGTGAAACATAGATATTTGTTGTTACCTCTTGTGCACAAGGCCCAAATTATCACACAGGCAAATCCGGAACCAGAAGCCTTGAATGCAATGCTGTTTGCTGATGCCCAAAGCCTTATAAATGAAGATGAGGAGAAACTGCAGGTTTATATGACCAGACTGCAAACCATTTGTGAAGAGTACATAATGAAGAGGAGCAAAAACAAGACCAAGATGATGAAGTTGAGCGGAACACTTAACAGCCTCAATATCAATATCAGCGGCGCTCAGAATTCAAATATCTTGGGAGCATCTTCACAGAAGACCGAAGACTCAACAGAGAGATAGAGACAAGAACACAAATGTCCAAATGTCCAAAAGAAATCAAATGTCCACTATCAGTGCACACCTCTCCTGAAACACCTGCACATCCCCATAGACACCATGACAAAACTAATCAATTTCAGCTTCATTCCCACTCTGATGTACCAGCACCAAACACGCACCAAACAAAGCCTAAAATGTAAACTCACCACCTGTGTAATCGGACACCTGAGACGAGCCTCCAACAAGATCAGGTGAGAAAAGATCAGAAATGAAAGAATCAGAGAAATATTGGGAGATACACGAATCCACCACTATATACAACAGCAGATGAGTTGGTTTAATCATCTTGGTTGCTTGGCCACCAACCAACTGGCATATACAAGCATGTAACAATAGGATGTCACATTACAAAGCGAGAGGCTGGGCCAGAAAAACCTGGATTAAGTGCGTCAAAGAGATACTGAGAACACATAGCATTCCCCCTCACAGGGCTTTCCAGTGGGCAGCAGACTGACAGTTGTTTCTCCCTGTGACACCTTATGGTATAAGCGGATGGTTAAAGTAAAGTAAGACATATCACTTGCTTAACTCAACACACTGAAATTTGTCCACATCTTTAGAAATTTGTGATGTGGTAACCAACAAAACCAACTGGACTGGCTTCTCCAGAGATCACTCTCCAGAAATTACTGCTCTAAAACACTACACAGCTTCTTCAAAAGGAGGTATACTGAACAAAATGGCACTACTACTGAGGAAAAATATTGTAATACTAGTCACATACTGTGAAAGCATTAATCACACACATACAGTATAACCTCAATGCTTTTGGTGACCTAATTGTTTTAAAAAAAATAAAGATCAGCTACACAGCCTTGACAGCTTTACATTTAGAGAACACAAAGAACATGTAATTCAAGTTGTGAAATGAAGCAGATTTCCTGTTTTGTTTACATGTGGGTACAGTAGGTAAGAGATAAGTGAAACTCTTGTTACTTAGAAAGGGATATTTACTGTAAATGCCAAGCTGCCATTCATCTGAACTACAGATCTGAATGTCTCAGGAAATATTATCTGCAGTTAAACCAGATAATATTATCTGCATATACTGTAACTTGGTTATATCAAGTATATCTTTGAATATACTGCAGACTTTAAATTAAACATTTCCCTACAAACATGACTGTTTTTTAACCAAAACATATAGTAACTATGAGAAAACAATTCATATAATTTTGTTAATATCTTTTTACTGTGTCTTATTTTTCTATGGCAGACGTACCGTACTTACAGCAATGCAGTGTTTAGCATTGCTGCCTCACAGCACCAGACACCTGGAGTGCTATCTGCATGGAGTTTTTTCCGGTGTTTGCATGGATTTGGTCCCACAGTACAAAGACATACTAGGAGGTTAATTGGCTTCTGGGAAAACTGGCTCTAGTGAGAGTCCGTGCATGTCTATGATAATGTGACTATGGCCCATCCAGGGTGTAACCTGCCTTGCACCCATAGCTTGTCAGGATAGACTCTGGCTCCCATGTAACCCTGAATTGGATGAAATGGTCAGATAATAGACAGAGATCATTAATAAGAAGAAGAATTCCTAAAGAATTACAAAGTATTTTAGTGAGGCTGCATGATTTTCGTGTTGAATTTATCGAAGATAACAGTAATCAAAAAAGAGTCCAAAGCGCTTCACACAAAACAGCAGACCAATTTCTCTGAATGGCAACCTTGGTGACACCCAGCAGCTACTGTGCACCATCAGCTCCATAAGAGCTTTGAGTTACCAGGTAGTCAAGATCCCTGGGGATCAGTGGTGCAAACTACAGGTCCACCAGCACCAATAACAACAGTTTCTTCCTTGAAGATCATGCACTCTAGTGCTGTCCTTTTGGTCAGCATATGTTGTAAAACTCCAGAAGAAGGCTCCACAGCAATTATGCTGTTTGTATTCTTTCTTTTTACTTTTCAATACCCAATAAGCCCCTTCTTGTTCCAGCATAGAAAAATGTACTTTTGTAGTGTTAGAAGAAAATTACCTTAATAAAGAACTTCACTATTATTACTGATGCATATAACAAAATACACAAAGGTTTATAGCCTACATGCCTTTGTTGGCTGATCTTATCATAACCATGGAGGTTGTCAATGTCTTGCCACAGACTCAAAAAGAGACATATCAGCACTCAGTAGCATTGAAATGTGATTCTTTCCCCACCCCCTCGTCTTCCTGACAAGCAAATGTCACCAGGCAACTCTAAGGCAGAAGAAAATCTGCCTGAATTACTGGCAAATTCTTCTCATAGTAGCTCTTTTAAATTAATAGCACATGCTGGGAAAAATCTAAGCTGTGGCTTTGACGTCACTATTGAAATGAGGAAGCATAAACACAGAAGGCTTCACCCCAGAACAGCCGCACAGTGTTGAAGCTCATTGGTCTGCCTCCCCTTGCCTCTGGCTACTGACAACACCTCCCAGCCGTAGCCAGCCCACTGCGAGCTGCTCACAATCATTGAGCACAGCCAAGACAGGCAGGCATGCAGACTGCATTAAACTAACACAGCTCCATTCTGCTCACACAGCCCAAGAGAAAGTGCCCTCTCGTCTTGTTGCCTCTGCTTTTAAATTCCACTCATCCTGGATGCGGTTGCTGGATTCTGCAGATCACGTCTTCATGAGCAAGCAGCACCCGTCCAAGATTTCACAGCATTTACAGGTCACAGATCTGCCACTATGGTTAAATGTCTTGTTTAATGGTTGAGGTATGTACTCTAAATCTTAAGGCAGCTTTCCAAAAACAAAAAGGGGAACTCAAAATGAAAACCCTTGTTGTGTTACGTCTTGGCTTGTGTTACTGTAAACAGGAGATTTTGTAGTGTTGCTGTTGCTGGTAATGTATTGCGATTTGTTTTGTACTGTTTCGCTGTGTACCCCCAGTAACATTTGCATTGAAGCTAGTGGGAGTTCTTCAGTATAGTATGCAACAATTTTTATTTTTATATAGTAAATGCACAAAATAAAAAGTGTGGGTGTCAAAGGAGTTGCTAACAATATAGCTAATGCGTACATCTTGTTGATGTGCTGAAATTAGAGGTGTTATTGAAACACACCTGTATAGTTATATGCATCATACACCTACAAAAAAAAAGTAAAGTGATTTATTGAGCTTGGTTTCTCTATAGGTTGCTACTGTAGGTGGTTTAAAGTTTTAACAATTTAAAAGCAAATTCTGTCCAGTAGTTGCTTCAGCATTTCAAGATTTCTGATTGTCGTCTTTCGCAGTTTTTCAATTAATGTGTTTAATGTGTGTTTTGTGAAATTTGTTATGTTTTTATGGAAAGTACATTTTTAAAATTGATGCAGAGAAAATCACTGGTGGAAGCTTATGAAAGTTAAAAAATGAAGTCATACAGATGACTTGAAATTGAGTGCTAGAACCAACAAAAAAACGCAGAATTCATTACAGTTAGATTTAATGTGATTGATCCTTTTATATTGTTATAGGCATATATTTATCTAAGATATATGTATTGCAACATTGTGTGTTAAAGCTATAATATTTCTTTAAGTTAATGCCATTTTTACTTTTAAAGACAGGTCATCTTTTGTTGCATTGTTTGTGTTCCTAGAGAAATATAGCAATTGTGTTTTCTGCACAGCAGTTAGAAATAAGCATTTCCTGCTTTTGTCATCTGTTGCAGCTCTGAGCAAAATAAATTTGTTTAGGTCTGAAGTTAAGACAAAACTTCTTATCATTCCCCGCCTTTATGCACTGTACGTTCACAAACATACTTCACATAGCATTATTATGTGTTTAGTAGCCTTTGATGAACTAAGAATTGAACTGTTAAGAAGTTTAAGAGAACCTCAGTTCAAAGTCAAAGCACTCTTGTCAGGACATTTTTAAATGAGGAACTGCTTCATTATCAGAGTGACAGAAGAAGGCCAGTTTGCAGAATTTAGTGTTCTTTGACAAGCTGGTATTTGAAAACAGCAGATAACAAGATGCAGCTTTTAACAGTTTCATTGGTTAGCTGCACCAATTTTCATAGAGTGCATCTTGTGCATTACAAAAACCTTTGTACAAGCCCAATTTTTACTTACTAACTGTAGATAATTATCTATATTGAAGGAACAATTTTAAGACAGATTCTTGCTTTTGAAATAATAAAAACCTTTATTCTATAAGTTTTAGTTTAAGTTTCACAGTGTTAAATTTAAGACTTTAAAATTTATAAATACTTGATGGCATATGCAGAACACAGCCACGGAAACACAATTCTACAGAAACACAATTAACCTTTGTATATTATTTTGAATTGTAAATATTTTTTTTAAATCAAACTCAGGATATTAAGGCTATCATTAGTATCATTATTGTTTTTTAATTATAAACCCACTCACTATCCCAAAATGGACAGAAAATATTTTCCTTTAAACTTGAAGCAAAGGAGAACAGCTATGCACTGAACTTGGTCACCACAAGCTGTGGTGTGAGTACTAAGAGACATCCTCCCAGTCAAGGTATTGATATGGGCTTGTGGAATGCTCATCTGCTAACACTGAGCATCTGCGGAATGATTGGAGGAGGGTGTTTGCAGAATGCAACATACAGTATCTTTCAACTGCAGTTGTTAGATAATGATTGTAGTTGAAATTAAGTAGCCATACAGGCCAAGTCGTCCTGCTAATCTGTTTCAGAAGAAATATTCAATATGTTTGCCTTAGTCAAATGAAACATCAGGCACTAAATCAATGTAACAATAATTTAATAAAATGTTAATAAATCAAAAGGGTTAACATCTACAGCATCATATCCAGTCTCATAGGAGGTTGCTTCCTATTGTTTCAGAGTAGCTACTACACTGCTTCTATTGAACAGACATACTGTACTGTAGATGACTGTCTCTTTCTATACACAATACCATAAAATGTTAATATGCCACTCTTCATACATACAAATGATAAATTATTTTGCAAGCTATATAAGAATTTGCTGGTGAGAACAAAGCTATGATAGAGGCTGAATTGACAGAAGACTATTCTTTTGAGCCTAAAAATGTCAGACACATGGTTGTACTGCATGACCATATTTGTATGTCTGGTTCCTGTTTGTTTGAGTTAAAACAGAACTTCCAGTAACTATTATGAGATTCTGACATAGTTCTTCAGAACCCACTGATTGTTCTGTATTGAAGACAACACACCAGTCATCTGGTGCTATGGTGGCTGGAGCAGACCTTGCCCATAATGCCTGTTAACACATGCAGTCTTTTTGAAAATTGTCCAGAATCTTTGGTTCCTGTTTTGGCTCACAACAAGCTCACACACCAGAGATGGTTGGGAGAAGACTGCATGCAGCACACACTTTGTTGTTCACTATGAACACAATTGTGAAGTATATAAAGTTCTTTCTGATTGGCTAGTTCTCAGGAGAAACATATGGACCTTATTTCCTCTAAGCATTATTATCTTTTACTGAACACTTTTCTGCATTAAGCATTATTAAATATTGCTAGTTACAGAGGAAATCTTTGAACATGATCATTTTCAGCACCAAATTATCAAGATTATATTTACCTCTATCTTGGAGCACATTTTGTTAGGCATTATAATCATAAACCTTTTTAATACTTGAACATTAATATAAAATATAATAGATTTAAATATTTTTTCTAATATGACTAAAGTATTCAAAATTTTCAACAGCACTAACAAAGTACTTACAGGCTAGATGGGCCAAATGCCCTCCACTTACTTGTAACCTTTCTTAAGACCTCATTAGTTCCTCCTGAATTGACTGTAAATGATGAACCAGAGGATATAAAATGAAAACTAATGGGTAGTGTATGTAAAACTGAGAATAGAAGGCACTTAAGCACCTAGCGTTGTTGCTGAAGTTTGAATCAAAAGAACTGGATCAATTAACTACTACGAACTAAACAAACTACTGTAGACAGTAGAAAAATGGTCTCCTTTTATTTGTAACTTTTTTTTTATTTGATTTTAAACATATGTTGTCTTCATTATTGTCTATAATTTCAAAAATACTTTGAATTAAAAACAACAGATTCTCTTCAAGCTACAATCGAAAGTATCTCTGTCAAGTTTCATGTAGATTTTAAAGAGAGATTTTAAACCTAACAATAAAAGGTGTTTAAAGTTTAATTGAAACAAACATTACACAGCAAAGCAATCTGAGTTCTTTTGATGATGACATGACAGTGAACTAGAAGTAGAATCACAACCTATTATCAGCATTACGAGACACAAAAGTAATTATTTATAATGTATACACTTTAGTGAAGTGGTAATTTTAATTGAAGGGCTGTGTTAATATGTTTCATTCATTAACCTCTATGGATCTTTTTAATATATTTTCCTTTTAGTGCCCAATGTCCATGCATGCGCCACACATCCTGAGGATATGTTTCTGCTGCTGGTTTTTATGTTGTAAAAGCATTATTTAACTTTTCACATACAGTAAGCATGCTTAATGTGGACATGCAGTTCAGAAAGGCACTAGTATAGGATGAATAATAAAACAGAGTGTGATACACTATGTGTTAGGGATTAAAAATCACATGTTTGCTCTGTCAATTGGCAAAACAACAACCAAGTAAACTCCAAATACAAAACCTGAAAGAACCTTAATTTTAATTTCTTCAGCTTCTGTTTTGTGTTTCCAAACCAATGAAAATTGCCAGCAAATGACTCCTGGCGAGTACAGCATGTGTAAATTACTATAAATTTCTCCTAGATCGCTTAAATACTATCTACACCCATTCTGAACTCAAATTTTGACTTTTTTAAAAAACATGATATGATGATTAGAGAAATTCCACTGCCTCAGCTTTTAGGTGAGGAGTTTTTTTTTTTTCAATTTTTGGTTTATCATTAAAATATTGAAATAAGAGATTAGTAACTCTTAGACTTGAAAGTTTTTTTTTCTCACAATGCAATAACACTATATCTGAAAGTGAACAACAATACTCAGATTTTAGATACTGTTCATAAAGCAGAAATGTGTTTTTATCACCAGGGGGACATAAGTGTATTTATAGTTGTATTTTGTTTTGCAAAGGTTTGAGCCAATTGCAATTGTACGTGTGCTTCCTCAAATTGTGAGAGTGGTTCATCAAAAGCCTTTTTTCTATTTAAGAAATGTATTAATTGTATTACAACAGAGCAAGTAGTATTCATGTGACACTCCATTTAACACATTTCCTTCAGGTCTGCACTATGACCAATATTAAGAAAGTTAAAAATGCAGTCTAATTTTGGTCATGCTTTTGTTTGTGATTACAGTTTAGTTTTTTAAAACAGCTTTCAAATTGAGCAGAAAATTAGAACATACAGAATATGAATTAGACTAAGGGCAGTAAGAAATGTCATGATTAAAGCTGGATTAATATGATCATATAAACATAAATTTTGGAAATTATTTGCAGTGTATATGTTTAAGTTTGAATTAGCTTGTGGTCACTAACATATAAAACACTTGATAATGTGACGTTGGTTTTGAAGAGGAATTTCCCCTTTGTTTTAATAACGATCATAACTACTGCAAAGTTTCACATTATAAAGTGAAATAATGAGTTATTTAAAAGTATCACAGATATGTCTGTCTTTATCACTGTCCTATAATGTTGCAGTGTAGTACTGAATAGTTAGTGGAACTGACCTTGAGCTGCAACACTGAATCACAAGCAATTCATATTTCACCCCCACTTTCTACAGTGACAATAATAAAATGGCACTA